TTAATAGAACATGCAATGTGCGACTCCAACTTCAAGGCCAAATTGTGGAACAAGTGAATGAATTTCAATACTTACGTAGGACAGTAGCTATTGATAGTGACACTATGCAGGATGTGAGGGCAAGAATACCAAAGGCGATTGGCACGTTTACAAAGATGAACACAATATGGAAATCTAGCTTTCCATATTGTGGTAACCGAGATAATTTAGAACAAAGTACGTGCGTTTGGAAATCGGTGCCTTCGGAAAATATTACGCATCTTTTGACCAAACCTAATTTCAAACGAACAACTGTGGAACAGAACGCATACAGACGACATCAACATAAATATCCGCAAAAGAAAGTTTGGCTGCACACTAAACGAAATCAACAGTCAATCCAGAAGAAGGCAAAGATAGAGGCAATTTGCAGATAGCCTATGCCCAGTATAGAGACAGCTTGGAATCTTTTAGTGTACATAATTTACACTCATATGATCTATACAAAATATTATATAAAAAATTTGATACTTTGTTTTCGTGCCTGTCGGTAACTTTAACATGGTTTTATTGGCAATGTGCCAGTGAATATCTTTTCTTCACACTTTATTAAATGTCAATTCCAATTCCAAATAAAATCATTGTAACTTCAACTTAATATGGTATACTAAGTGTGTTTTTTGGGCTCGATGAAACTGGTGGGACTCCACAATGGATTACAACATCGATTATAGAGTTCTATACTCCTGCCAATACATCACTGCTTCAGCAATTACTTCAAAGCTACTACAAACATACATTAAATTTCCTCGGTTAAAATTTTTGTTTTAAAAGAACATGTCCGACTTTATCATCCATAACCAGCTAGACGAACCTAAGATTACAGACTTTGTTACTGCGGTCTGGATATTTTCCCTGTTTCTGTAGAAGCCTGCTTGATTCACTTTTCTTGTGAATGGTAAAGTTTTGGTAAAAGTAATTGTTCGGTGATGACGAGTGACGTCTTAGCTATTTAAGCCTATATTTAAGCCCTGCTGTTTCTGAGATCATGAGATCTACTGAAACACTTATATACAAAATTTTTAAAATAATTTTAGTGATATTGTCTATTGTTTTCAATGAATTGTAATTTTATATTTCAAATTGAATTTCAAAATCAAACTTGATTTTAAAGTCATAAAATGACCTGAATTGCAAGAGTACAAATTGACACTTATTATTTCATCTCATGTATAGATTGTCCCAATAAAATATAAAACATAATCTGAATTGAAAACGCGAATATTTTAAGCAATAAATTGTAATCACTCTCAAGATTAATTATTACAACAGTTTTATTAGAAATACAAAAATTGATATTCGTTGGAACTTCAAGTAATCCTATTTGTCGCACCAACCTTTTGTTTGGTTGTACAAAATATTTCAAACGTAGTGATCAGACCACTGCCTCTGGAATGCTTCATAATTATATACAAAAAACATCAATTATAAATATAAATACATTAATAACATATATGACTATGGAAATCGACTAGCTCTCCCATAAAAAATAGCTTATTTCCTTTAATTTTACTATTGTAGGAATAAGTTCATTTTGAATAATTTATTTAAAATTTATATTATACAAAGATTTTTTAATAATAATAAGATTATTTTCTAATTTCTGAGAAATATAGGTCAATTGGTCTAATAACAATAAAATTTAAGAGATTATATATATTCCATCACATTCCAGTACTCCCAGCATTAGTTAGTTCCCGTTTAAACTTAGTTAATTACGCTCTCAAAACAAACGAATGGATAACAGAATTGTTCATAATGCAAGAATAGATAGCGATTTACACCAAAAAGTCAAAAGTTGTTCGCGGCACAGGAGCCGGAATCTATTCCATGGACCCATGGATTTCTCCTAAGTTGACTGAACTGCGATAGAATGTTTTGCAGACCAATAAGGTAAAAATATGACAATAATCAAGTAGTAATGGTCGTTTCTGTATAATGAGAAGATTAATTACCTTAGTACCGCAATAACACATCTCCCAATATATTAAAGAATGTGATTAAAAAACTTGAAGACAATTTTGTTTACAGGCCAGACAGTAAGCAACGGCTCCGTTTCTTAATTTTTTCTACGACTGATCAGATAATCACTTGACTTCAAAAATGATTAAAAACTACAAAAGTAATTATTGCTTCGGTGATTATTAAGGTTAATTATTTTATTTGTTTACAAACAAATAAAATTAACAATAAAAATAAATAAAATATATCAAATTACATAGCAAGAAATATAAAACTAATATGCGAAGAGATCTACTTTGTTTTAGAAACTGCATGGAAGAGTTATAAAATGAGTGTGTTAACCAACACAGATTGAATCAGATCTTTTAAGCTGTATAGGTTATTTTTGTTGCAGCAAACAATACTAATTAAATAACAGCAGTTCAAGAAAAAAGTTAAACAAAATAAAAAATTGTGAACTTTTTTGAGTAATTTATCATTGACTTATTAACTCATAGAAGCGGGCATAGTCGGATCGGGCAAGAAGCATTAGGAAGCACTGGGGAAAAATACTAGCATCTTCCAAGAGAGAATCTACGCAATATTCAAGTGCGTACTTTTCAATATTAAATGGAATTATAAGGGAAAACATATCACAATACTGACAGATAGCCAAGCGACGATTAAGGCACTAAACTCGCATCAGGTGACTTTAAGACTGATGCAAATCTGCTAGGCGAATTAAATCAGGTGATGATTCTCTGGGTACCAGGATATACTGGCGTACGCGGAAACGAATACGCATGCTACCTAGGAAAGGAGCCAGTCACACTGATGAGAAGTCGGAACCTTCACGAGGTTGTCTGCTTTGAACGTCTATCAAACATCAACTGAACGACGTAGCTTGCTCAAAATTAAAAAGTTGCCCACTGGTAGATTACCGCTGACGGCAGCACTGTTGCATTTGGAGTAACTGCGCGGGAAATTAAAAAAATCACTGACTTATCAAACCACCCTCGTAGTATATTACATATCAGATATATTGTTCTGTTCCTGCAGAGACGTATTTATACCGGATAAATATCTGTTTACCACATGGCTATAATCTAACCTTAATTGCGATAGGACAGTTGTTGCTGCTGGAGGAAGACATTGCTCTTCTCTGGCGATAGATCTGTTTTCGTCTGTTGGAAATGGAGCATAGAATAAAAATCAAGTGGTTTCAAACAATAAAAATTTAACATTTCGAAAAATTAATTCTATATATGTTATATATTAATGACGTATAAAATTAATAACTCTAAGGTATATTATCATTTATTTACGAAAAATTAAAGAAACATAAAATTTGTCAATCTTAAACATTTGTAAAATAAATATTACTTCAAGAGAGAATCGGGATTGTTATGAACCTAGCGTAGTTTATTCCTAACTTAGTCGTTTCACAAGTTTCTGCTAACCCCTCTTCTATCACCTATAAACGTTCTTCCCTTAAACAAGCTCGACTACGCTATTTTGACCTTTATAAATTTAGCTTGCTTAATACTAAGCCTATATGGTGTCCTCTTTGCGCTTCAGTACTGGAATAGGGTTTCAACCGCTCTCTAACTATGGCTTTTGATGCTTTCAATCTACCATAAAACGACAACAAGACAATTGTTGTGTTGTTTTGGATTCAGATGTCATTACTAGTCGTTGAAATAGTGTATTTAGACATATAGGCTTCGGTCTGAAATATACATATTTTTCCTCATATAAGATATATAAAATTTATTTATTATTATACTTAGCTATTTTACTAGTAATATATTTATTATTTGGTTTCAATGCACACACATAAATAAATAATTACATTCAAAACTAATGCAATCTAATCCAACTATGTAATAAATTTTAAATTAAAAATATGCAATAACATTAACGCTTATGACTATGTTTTCTAATTGACAATAATAGATTGTTTGTAAACTGGAATAAATTACCTGTACTATTTATAAAATCCCCGAACTTTCTACTGTACGTCATTTAAATGTTGAATACGTATTTACAGTGTAGAATATGGACGGGTATATCAGAATCGTACTTTTGTTAAAGGTGTATTGAGTATGAAACTGTAAACAACCTTGGAGGTCTAAGCCACATATACATGTATACATATATATATATATATATATAATTCAATATTTACGATTAATAATTCATAAAGCAACAATTGCTAGCGATGTTAGTCAATATTTACTAAATTTATTTGAAAAATTCTATATACAAAAATGCAGTAGCATGGAAACCGGGTGATATTTTTCCCGTCTACGAGTACACGCTTTTCATTTGCATTGAAGTATACCCGCTACTATATTCATGAGAAATTGTAAATTGTATTGAATACTTTCGTGGGACATTTTAATTGGAAAGTATTTTTTGCATTAAACGTGAAACAATTGCTGCAATTTATTTGCCAACCTGCACTGCATGGCTGTCCATCTAGGGGAATATGCGGGTATGAAGCTGTAATTTAGAACGAATTTTTCGTTGTCTTTGTTTACTTCAAATTACTGAGTAGCATAGATATCTGTATCGGATACAAATATACTACAGATACTTATCTATTCGTATATATGTATTGAATAGCTCACAAAGCAAATACGAATCTCTGAGAAAGCTTCGCAACTAATGACTTTTCTACCGAAACAACCAAATCCATTTTATTAGATTTTTAGCCGACAGTCGAGATATGAAAAATTATTTATTTAAACATTACCATAGAAATAAATTAACGCCAAAACTGGAGCTGTTTCAGCAAGAACACCAAGAGGCTAGTATTTTTATACTGAGTTTATATTGAATTTTAAATTTAAGGCGGAATGTATATTCAACTTTAACATGAAGAACCACAGAATGTTGGATATTTAATATTAATGAAATCGATATACAAAAATTTTAAATTTGATTAGTAGTCCTAGCAACAGTGAACGTTTAAATTATTAAAAATAATAGTGGTCACACTTCTAACTCAACCTCACCTGTAGTGTGTATTTCTCTCCATCGACGTCGATATCCTTGTTCATAAACTCTACGCCAATTGTATGAAAATTATTTTCATCATAACGATTGGATACAAAGCGGTTCATCAGACACGACTTTCCAACGCCTCCGTCACCCAAAATTACCACCTTCAGAAGTATGGTTTTATTCGGCGGTCTCATGTTTGTCATCTTAACACTTTGTTTAACTAAAAACAAATTCAGTTTCATAAAAAATCCAAAACAAACACACAAAATACAAACACTTATCGTTCAATACAACAACATATATAATATTTTCACACTTAATTCACACATAACAACAAACCATTTTTTCAATTATATTTTTCGTGTTCTACTATGTTTACTTACTTTCTTTTCAGGTACTGTAGGGTTTATTTTGTGTCCAAATTCAAATTTGCATTAGTACAATAGAAAATACTTTTTTATATTATATTATATTTTATTAAAAACAATTTTCAAACAGCTTGGACTTAAAACAAATTCACACACACAGCACAAGCACCAGCAAGTGACTACTGCCTATCAAGCGCAACAAATAAATATGTCAAAACATAGCGTCGCGTAATTGCATTGCCAATTATATGTCAAATTTAAGGTGAAGTGTCAAAAAAAAGTGTTGCCAACACGTCTAATTACAGATATTACAAAAAATATAATTATATCATTTGTCATAACCAATTTTTATACGCTTTTAATATAATTTTATATAATAATTATTTACATATATATATGTATATATAAATATATAAATAAATATATAATTATTTAATATAATAATACATGTAATATTTGATTTATGGTATGTTTCCACTCCTTAATTTTTGTTAATCATACGAAGAGCTTACGTGCTTATAACTTAAAAAAAATAAAAAAAATTAGACCAGAAATGTCGAATGTAACATTGTAATATATATTTCCCAAAATGAAAATGAAAAAATCAATAAATCAAACAAACAAGAGTTAAAAGTTTTTTAAAATTATTGTTTATATAAATGGTTTTATTCATCAAACACATTTGTGCTATCAATATACAATATCATATATTATTTAACTAAAACGTAAACAAATAAAACTCTACTAAAACTTTCTGATTCATAAAGCTTTTTCACATACATAAATCAACATATTCTAATGGAAAACGACCGAATATTATTTTAATTTGACATAAATTAATTTAGCTGCAGTAGGAACACGTATTATATCGCACACATGCAGTGTTTGCATAGGCAGTTCTTTTTGTAATTAAATATTAAAAACACAAATATTAAAACACTGAAATAATATGAAATGTTTAGTTAAACTACATATATGCATAAAAACACCAAACTAAGAGAATTTCTTGTCATAGGCAATTATGTCTAATTTATATGAATAATCCAAAAAGGATGATATTTCAATAAGATATAAAGACCGATTAAATTGGTCTTTATGTCGTTTATTTAAATTGCATTAATTTTAATCAGAATATGCATTATTTTGTGTACCAGCTATTTATTGTTCGGAGAAAACTTGGTTTGTTTACGTTTTATTTTGTTGCTTATGTTAAGTATGATTTAGACATTGCTACATGTCTGCTCATCAAGTATGCGCTCACCAAAATTCTCAAAGAAATAATATTCTTTGTTCTCAAATTATGCGAAGTTTCAAACTTCGATATACATAAGCAGACATGTATGCACACTTAATAAATAATTGAAGTTTTGATTTTACCGTATACATGTCTGCAGACCGAAATTTGGTAGGCATACTTGAATATACACAGTGCGATTTGGTAATACGCATGCTTGGTTTGCATACATGTAGCAATGTTTATATCATGCCTTATTAGCACAACTAATAGTTTTTTAAGCACTGATTCACTAATAATTATTTATTCTAATAATATCTACATTGTCTATATTTATATTAACTAATCCAGCTTTAAGATAAAGCACATACTTCTTTTGAATGAGTCATACTGTATCTACACTTGGAAGTGTCGAATCTTTTTAAAGGGATTTTAAATAGATTTTGTATTAAAAAGTGGCATTAATTAATGCATATTTGTTAAGTTAAACTATATTTATTGGAATGAAAATATGAATGGCAATAAAAGCCATGCAATTATTATTGCACATATGTATGTAAATATTCATTGGTACTTTGTAATTTTTTACATTGAAAATATACTATGAATATAAAGAGAAAAGCTAAATTTCTTTTAAAACTTAATAGTTATAATTAGTAGGTCTGTTCCACGAGTTACTCGTAGTAACTTTAAGTAACACTGTGTATACACAAGTGCGTTCCACCAGCGAATTTTCGCATAAATTTCATTTGTGTTTCACTTGAGTTTTACTACGAGTAGCTCGTAGAACAGACCTAATATATATCAGGGCTGTTCAGACCAGATGCAATAGCGGGTCAATATAAATCACTGCACAGATTGGAGGGCCACAGAAACTAACACATACGTTCGTAGTTGTTTTTGAAAAAAATAAAATCCAGTTATAATGTTAAATTTAGTTTTATTAATTTAAATTCATTTATTTGGTATACCATAAAAATAAAAAATGGTGTTTTACCAGTACATCAAAATAAAATTTGCTTAAAGGAGGAAAAGGAGGTAATAGTGAGAAAACGTAAAAATCAACATATAATTTGCAATCACTTGAAATTTTAACACTAACATTTCAAACATTTGTTATTGACAATTAAAGCCATAAATGTTTCCAAAAACCACTTATAATAATATTTGGCGGTATCTGAAACAACTGTTTGGTCAGTCCAAAAAACTAAATCTATTAAAAATTAAATAATTCAATTGGAATTTGCGTCACTATACGATATGAACTGATAGGTACTTGTCATAGGTACATATATCCTCGTCATAGGTAATAATAAAGTTTTAATTCCTTCTTTATAATAATATGATATACTGAGAAATTTCGTTGTTATTGTAAATTTTTATGATATATAACAGTTATAACTAATATAACAACTCTAATAATTGATTATATTCACGATTTTTTGGTTACTCGTGTTCTGACATAAATTATACAGCAACACTAAGTTTAAACGTTGTGAGTTGGTAGCTCTGTTCACACCAATATGTTCAATTCTTGTTGTGTTCTCACAGTTGATCATCACTTCATATTTTGATTCCGTCGGTGTTGGCCGTGGTCGGTTGTCCAATGTAGGATTCCGCCGCCAATAAGCGAAAACAAAAAAATATTGAGAAGTTTTTGGTGAAATATATTGCGCGAAGAAAAAATTCTCAGCAAATATATATATAAATGAAATTCCTTTTTTCGTTAACTGTGTCTTTTTCGAAACCTACACGTTTGTTGTCCAATTTAATTGATGAAATTTAAAGTGAATATTTACATATAAATTATATGAAAAGTTTAAGTTAACATTGTTCTTGGTTTTAACCACCGACTGTTGAAAGTTTTCGGGTGATTTCTTGTGCACGTATCTGCATCTCTTTTCAACGTAAAGGTCATTTGTGTGTAGGATGGTGGCATGAAAAGTAGCTCAACAAAATTATATTCTACATTGTAGAAATGATTTTTCCATATGAAAATAATAATAATTAATTAACTTAACAGAAAATAATACTTGTTTTAAGTGCTGTAATAAAAAAATGTGAAAAAATTATGTGCATTTGTGTCGTGTACAAAAGTTTTAAATATATTCATAGCCGCATGAATAAAATAAAAATAACAAATGAAAAAAATTTGAAGGTTATTTTATGTTTTCTTTCGTGCTATATTTCATTACGATTTTTATTTTTTTGTTTCATCGCGCGCATTTGTATACGGAGAGAAATTTTATTGTTATTGCGTAAAACAACTGCAAGCACCTCAAACACTTAACAATGTAAACAAAAACTAAAAAATCGCGCTCTCTCTTTCTCTTTAAATATAGGCCCTTCGATTTGAATTATGTATAAGGAAGACAACCATATCAAACATTGTATTGTTTTGTTTTAATTTCTTTTATTTAAAAGCCAACAAATCCACATATATTTTATTATGTTTTCTTTGGTACATAAATAATACGAAAAGAAAAAGGGAAACCAAAAAATCAAATCACACACATACATACCCACACGCATATTCTAATTGCATTGATAGAAATGAGAGAGCAGCGCACGGCGGCACTGAGCGCTAAATAAGTATTTGAAATGTTTTAATGTCAATAAACTCTGCAAAGGTAAAAAAGCAACGTTAAGATTGGTAAAAACAAAGTACAAATTTTGTAAATTCAGTTAATAAACAGAAAAATTCATACTCTGGATTCCAATTCCAGAAACAAAAAATAGAAAAACGACCGAAATGCCGATTAAACAAAATTGATAGAATGGAAATTTATTTTGATTTTTGGTAAGATTTTTATTAGTTTTATTATTACTAAATTAGAAAATATATAAACGAAAACAAACAAAAAAATCGCAAAAACTTGTTAAAATGAGACGATAAAATTAGATGGATTATTCAAAAAATTTTCCATGAAACATTTAACATATTTAAATCCGACAGTTTATCAGGTAGAAAGGATGTCTTTCAACTGATACGACCAACTGTAGAACTTAATGAATATATAGAAGTGTCTTTGGACATTCACTTTTTAGGAAGTGTTCTTTGTATGAGTTTTATGTGAGCAAATTTAAAATCAAATCGAATTTAAATTTAAATAATCTACGTGTATTTCAAAATAAGTCTTAATAAGCTAATTAGTCCGTACGACTAATAACGTAGCACCGCAACTGATACCCACAGAATTTATCAGGGTGAAAAAAACTTTTTAAAAGAAAAGAGAAATTCTCCATGATAGAAAAATTAGTTTAATCTAACTTTGATCAAAGTATAGCTACGTGTATAACAGCTACTTGTCACATATAACCTTTGAAATTCTAAATATGTTTCACAACTGTAACTCTATCTAGGACATAACATCCATGTGTATAATTGCTGAATAGCACAAACTAAGCTAAGCTCCATAGATTTGTTGCCTCAGCTCCATTGCGGTGGCGAAATTCCTGACTTGTCTATTGTAATTAGACTTGTCACCTACATCTACATCTTTCCCATTTTCCTACTTTCTGCCCATTTTCCCATTAATCATACCTTAATATCTGTTCCTCCCCTTTTGTGGTGTGTCGTGAGTCATTTGTATTTTCTGATTAATAGGATTCCGTAAGAGCAGTGAAATGATACTAATCGCAAGTACACTAACATCAAGATAAAAACAAAAATAATAGCAAGTCAATCAAATCAGTGAGTTTCAAGATGGTCCACATAAATAATAGAAGCAATACTGCTTCTATACTCTTTACTATCTTCATACAACAATACAATACAGTTTATTACAATTAGATTTTGGTGTGGAGGAAGTTTTTATTTGGGTGTTAAACAATTTTAACTCTTCATTGAATCCATATTAGGTACCGTATAGTAATTTGTGTGTGTCTTTGTCTTTGATTAATATTATCTCATTAAATAATACTATAAATATAATTAGGAAAGTATGTTTATTTTGGCTTTTCAATGCAATGGAAATGATTTTCCATTGGTATTTTTTTTTTTGT